ACCCATACAATGTATTTTTGGCTATTGCTACAAATTTACCCCAGCAACTTAAGATTGCTTTTGTGCTCCAGGGTCACATATTACTTATTAATTAAATATAATTACACAGTAACAAGGACATTGTAAAATAAAGTGTAACCCATGTATCTACAAGTGAACAAATCGCAAAGTGAGAAATTAAGCAAACATTTAGTTTTACTGGCTGTATTCGTAACATAGTCGTAATAGTAATTTTCAAACATCTGTGCTGTCTTTGTGTATTTGTTTGTAGAGCTCATACGACACAGAAATGCGAGTGTGGCCGCTGATGGTGAGACGTTGAGAAGTGGAGCAGCAGCGTTTGGTCGGGTTTGAGAAGGTGTGGCAGATCCACAGTCACAGGTCCCAATGTTCCTAAACGCAACTATAAATATAGAGATGTGCAACAACTCCTTGAAGGAGAAAGCCAAGATTTTACTGCTCTCTCCCCGTGTCTCTCTTTCTCTCTGTCAGCAGTATTTCCGTGTGGGGAGAGGGGCTGTTCTGCTAGTACTGTCCTGTCCTCTGTAAATAAGGCGTCCTCATTCTGTCGCGAGGAGGAAAAGGAGCGTTTGACTACAATGGGCTATTATTGGCCATCATAGAGATGAGACAGACTCTCAGGGGAGCACAGCGCACTTTTCTGAACTGGAAACGTCGGCTGCGTCTCACTCTGTCTCTCTCCCTGCGGCTGCTGTGTTTTTCTTCACCGGCTTGTGGAGGTACGCTGATGTCTGGAAGCGGGAAGGGTTCGCCCCTCGAAGACAAAGATTTCACACTCCCAATACTTCCCCTGTTTCACCATAACAAACTGTCAAAACTTTGGAGACATTTGTAATGGTGTTAGAATAAATCTGACAGAATGAATATCAGACAGACAATAATAAAAAAAAATTCTCACATCAAATGTTTTCTCATTATGATTTTTTTATGGTTATTTACATCATTTTGGGTATGTAAATGTTTCAAAATATAGGACACCAGAATGCAAATCTCTTTT